TGACCATAGTAATGAGCTAACCTGTCGTAATGAACGACTTTGGGTTTAGAGTTCGAAGACTTACGGATCCGAATCACGACGTCATTCAGCCTGTTTAGGACCGTGTACGGACCATCCCAAGGTGACTGTCATTTCGGACAAAGTCCTTTCCGTCGAGTCGGATTCCACAACCACACCTTGTCTCCTTCGTGGAATTTATGTTCAGTAGCTCTTGTGTCGTATCGGGTCTTCATCTTCTCCGTCGCCAAGTTGACTCGCTCTCGTGCAAAGTTGTGCATCACTTCAAACCGGGCCTGGAGATCTTGAATATATTCCTCAGATGATGAAGGAGCATCCGGAGGGCGGCCAAACAATAGATCACAAGGCAGACGAAGGTCACGACCGAAGAGCATCTGTGATGGAGAATAGCCGGTAGTCTCGTGGACAGCACGGTAAGCCAGTAAAAAGAGTGGTAATTTCTTGTCCCAGTCCTGTTGGTTTCTGGAAACCACTGAGAGGTTATTAAGGATGGTTCGATTGAACCTCTCTACCATGCCGTCCGACTGGGGATGCAATGCCGTCGTTTGAGTTTTGTCAATGCCGAGTACTTTGCATAGTTCTTTGATTACAGCCGAGGTAAAATTCCTTCCCTGATCGGAATGTAACTGAAGAGGCACTCCAAACCTGGAAATCCAGTGCTGTATCATTACCTCAGCTACTGTGACAGCCTCTTGATCAGGAATAGGATAAGCTTCAGGCCACTTGGTGAAGTAATCAATGACAACGAGTATGTATTTGTTGCCATCAGCACTTCGTGGCAGAGGTCCCAAGATATCAAAGGCGATACGTTTAAACGGCGCACCTACGTTGTAACGTTGCAGCTTGCCTCGGCTGCGTTTCCTCGGTCCTTTCCGACCTGCACAGGCATCGCAAGATCGGCAACACTTTTGCACGTCATCCTTCGCATTATTCCAGTAAAAGCGCTCACGAACTCTCTGTAAGGTCTTCATAATTCCAAAGTGACCTCCTGTAGGGCTGTTATGTAGTTCTTTAAGGACATCAGGAATCCGGGATCTTGGAAGTATCAGTTGCCATCGGAACGTCTTCCCATCATCCGATTCGAATTTCCGGTATAAGACGCCGTTTCGAATGTGAAGTGAATCCCAGAGTGCCCAGTATTGTTTTCTGTTTGATGACTCCATTAAATCAATTATGGGTTTAATGTCGCGGTCTTACAGCTAGTCTTTCCTGACTTCATCATTACTCCACGGGTCTCGATCAGCCGATGTTGATGTTGTAATTTGTCTTGCGACTGGAGTCAGCAGCTCGTATTTCGACCCTGGAACAATATCGGCAGCTTTCTTGGTAAGGTCTTCTAGACAGGGCGTCGGCGTTTCCGTGTGATGATCCCTTACGATGACGGATAGTGATGTCATATTCTTGGAGTCTCTGTATCCACTTGGCTATTTGACCCTCAGGATTCTTGAAATTTAAAAGCCAGGCCAATGAGGCATGGTCCGTGCGGAGGAGGAATTTTCTGCCGTATAGATAATGATGGAAATGTTCTACAGCTTTGACTATGCGAGCAACTTTTTCCTGGTGACACAGTAATTCCTCTCCGGTTTAGACAGGCATTTGCTCCAGTACGCTACTACACGTTCTTGTCTGTCTATTTCTTGGGACAAAACCGCACCGACACTTTCATTGCTCGCGTCCGTGTCGAGAATAAATGTTCTGTCGAGCTGAGGATACGTCAGGATTGGAGCAGATGTTAAAGCTTCCTTTAAGTTGTTAAATGCATCTTTGCATTCTTTTGTCCACAAGAACGTTTGCTTGCTCTCTGTCAGCTTGTGAAGGGGTCTTGCGATGGAAGAAAAGTCCTTCACGAATCTCCTATAGTAGGTGCAAAGCCCTAGGAAGCTTCTCAGCTGATGGACATTTTCGAGACGTTTCCAGGATTTAACCGCTGATACCTTTTCAGGATCCGTGCGTACACCTTCTGCAGAGATGACATGTCCCAGGTAAGTCACTTCCTTTAGGAACAATTTGCATTTAGCGGGACTCAGCTTCAGATTGGCTTCTTTCAGTTTCTGAAGCACCTTCCCAAGATTTTCTAAATGTTCTTCAAAACTCTTTCCGACAATAATGATGTCGTCCAGGTATATCAGGCAGGCTTCGTAAGAAAGGCCTTTCAAAACAGTTTCCATAAGACGTTCGAATGTTGCCGGCGCATTACACAGTCCAAACGGCATCACTTTGAACTGCCAAAGTCCCTGTCCCGTAGTAAATGCCGTCTTTTCTCGTTCATCAGGATGGATTTCTACCTGCCAATACCCACTCTTTAAATCAAGTGTTGAGAACCACTTGCTTCCAGAAAGAGTGTCTAGAATGTCATCAATTCTAGGAAGAGGGTAACTGTCTTTCTTCGTAACCTCATTCAACCGGCGATAGTCAACGCAAAATCTTGTTGAGCCATCTTTCTTTCTGACAAGAACGATGGGAGATGCCCATGGACTCGCTGAAGGCTCGATGACATCGCCTTCTTCCATATCTTTTAACAGTGTTCGCACCTCTTCCTGTTTAGAAAACGGTAGACGTCTTGGATGTTGCTTGATCAGGGGATGATCGCCGGTATCTATTCTATGTTGTGTCAAACTAGTTCGACCCACGTCGGAAGACGAGCGAAAACAACTTGAAGATCTTTAATGACGCGATCGGCAGCATTTTTCTCTTTATCGTTTAATTGTGCATTCTGCAATAACTCCGATGTAATGCTCTCTGAGGGCACGGATTCGGGGATGTTACTCTTTCTTTCAACGCTGGTTACTGGAGTACATGTTGCAACCACTTCACCTTTCTTAATAACTCTCGACTTTTCAGTTACATTGGCGACTCTCACCGGGATAACCGTTCTGGATAGGTCGACGAGCGTTGAGGCTACTAGTACTCCTTTTGGGCTATTACAGTTATTGGGATATTCTATGATGCCGTAGCGGAAATTTCTGTTTTCGGCTATGGGATCCAGGAAGTAAAATTTCTGTTCTTGCCGGTATTGTGATATTGTGTTGTGCTATGATTTTATGGACAGATTTAACTTCTTCATCATTAACTAGAAATAACGCTATGTCCTCAGATGTAGAATGCAATTCGTTATTTTTAAAATCCAAGGAAAAATTGTATTTCCTTAGAAAGTCCAATCCGAGTATGCAAGAATCAGTGATCTCTGTTACATATGCCGTGTGATGGTAAGCGGCAGTTCCAAACGTGATGTTAACATTTACTTTTCCGTCGATGTCGATCTTCTCACCGGACACAGTCTGGAGGGTAACGCAGGGCGGCGTCCACATAAGTTTGTTTCCTAGTTGTTGAGCCAAATCTTTTCGGATAATGGTGACGTTGACTCCTGTATATATAGTCATATTGCACGGAATTCCATTAATATGTCCTATTATGAAAAGTCCATTACTGCCGCCTCTCACTGCAGAAATCTGAAAATCTGCTTTAAACGGGGGCTTTTCATTATCTGGCAACCTCCGCCCCGCGAGATAGCCACTAATTAGTTTCCTTGTTGCTTGTTAGAAGCGGTCTTAACATCCGTACCCTGGGGTATTCTGCAGTTTCGTCGTATGTGTCCTTCAGCACCGCAGTTCCACTATTGTTTAAACAAATATGGCATGTTACCACTTCTGAATTTAGATGGGTTCCAATTCGTTGCTTATTCTGCTTTGCTCCGTTTTATTGACTGAAATCATGTGTAGACCAGCGGTTCTCAACCTTTTGACTAACGCGTACCTCAAAACTGAAAAACTTTAGTACCACTACTACATTTTATAATGATTGTTTTTCAATTTCTCAATAAAAATGTTATAAAAAGATATATTTTGCCATTTGCACAACCTATTGGCTATTTGTATTAAATATACCACATTAAAAATATTAGATTAAAACTTGGTTAGCATTTTAATTATCAAAATTTACGTTATTCTAAAATTTCTATAATTTAGTGTGAATTTTGATGTGAGAATTAGTTAATTATCTGTAGAATTTTAGTGTGAATAGTTCTAAAATTTAGTGTGAAATCTGGGGCTGTTTAACAGATAAGATTCCATTTTTTCATGTCTGGTCTTATTTTACTTAGCTTTAACCATAAATTAGAATCCTTTTAATTTTGTTCTGTATTTATTTTTCAAATATAACATGGAAGAAAATCCTTGTTCACACAAATTGGAAAATCACAAACAGGAAAAGGATCCTCAAATAGGAAATCTTTTGTGCAAAAAAGGCAATAAAAATTTGATAGCTTTATCTGAATTGCCTTTAATTTTTCTTTTTCCGGTTCAGTTTGATCACAAAAAATTTCTATCAACTATTTTTTTTTTGGGGGGGGGGTTAGGAGATTTTAAAAATTTAATTGTTAAAAATACTTTGTTTCTTTGCGTACCACCGGTTGAAAATCGCTGCTCCAGACCATTTCCTCGGCAAGGCATTGCCTTTATATTATTTTTAGTTACAGAATCAGAAATTTTTATTTTATAGCACGAGGCATTATTAGCCATTAAAACACAGTTTGTTTCAGCCCATAAATCACCAATTTGCGGCATAAGAGGGTTTCCAAATCACTGATGTACTTTTTCTGTCTCCGAGTACCTTCTACAATATAACCTCTCTAGATCTTCAGCATTCATAAGACTTGAGACTCTTAATGAAGATGTCTGTTTTACCGCCTTTTATCTTAAAAAATGTCTTTTGGTTGGTCATAAGCATATTGTGATGCTTCTTCATTAATCTAAAATGTTTTATAAGCATTTCTCTTCAAATTTTCCCAACAGTTTAGATATCCTTAAATCGCATAAAATTCAAAATTAATCTAAATATTTTTAATAATATAAATGAAATGAGCTTGTTAAAAGTTCCAACTTGATATATGAATAATTTACTATCTCACTAACATGATAAATATAACTGTTTCATTTCGTTAATCTGAGTACACTAAACAATAGTGGAACAAAAGCTTTCATTACCTTTGATCAGCGTAGATAATTTCAGCCTGTGGTCCATGTATGGTGAAATAAGCATCTTGATGTGCTTCTATGTATGATATGTCAATTTCTGGTTCCAGTTTTGCAGGCTCTACGAACATCAACACTACTGCAGTGGTTCCGAAGTCTTTCGTTCGGGCTTAATGAAAAAAAGATTATATTTAAAAATAATGACCGGTTAATCCCAACCATGTTATATTTTCTGATATTAAAAATGGAAAATATTTTTGAAATTATTTTTCACAATAATTTGCTCTTAAATGTATAACTATTCACTTCTTCAGGCAGTCGAACACAAATTACCTGTACACAGTTTACATGGTGATTCGGAATTCGGTTGAACAAACTGCTTCTTCTTTTCTTAGCGTTAAATGAAATTAAATTGGTTGTTATTTTACTTGGATGTTTTCTACTCTCCAAGTGCTTCGAATAAAATTGAAATATATTATATTATGTGCGGAATACATAATTTTAAGATGCTTTTAAATTAATGCAGGCGAATATATATTACATATCGACTGGGCTCGGTGTTGAGCAAATATGCAGCTTATAAATATTCTGTGCAATATGTAAGATTTAAGTTTTACTAACAGTTAGCTTTATGTTAATGTCTTCCTTAACATGGTCTAGACACGTTCCTCGATAAGACCAAAGAGTATAGAAAATTTTACGGCAAGTGGCACAGGTTAAGAAAAGGACGCAATCTTAATCGGGATCTCAATAGAAGGCCGAGGCATTGCCATTCTGGAAAAGGAAAGCGCTCGCCGAAAAATTAAAGAGCTGTCAGAGGTTGGCCAAGTTCAGAAAGTACAGTAACATCCCTCGTAATCAGCATCCAGTTAACCGACAAATATCAAAATAACAGCGTTTTTAAAAGCCTAAATTTATATCCGAAATTTAGGACTATGAGAGGTAATCGGCTGAAAATATGAAGACTTTCGTATTATGTTTCCATAACACAACGAAACAAATCTAATCCAACCAATAAATTGTCCAGAATATAACGAAGTACCTACCTCTTTTAATGTATCAAAGTGTGAACATTGAAAGCAGTGTCCATGATTTTTAAGACACAATTTACATTAAAAGACGGCACTTATACTTTGGCTATTGCCTGAAGAGTGTTAAGAACATTATTTTACGTCAGAGCCTATCATGATGTTTGTAGATGACAAATCGAGTGACAAATATTCTCTTGGTTTTAAAATAAGCCCGGTGTCTTTGACTTAGTTGCATAGTAGGAGAAGAGTTAGTGAAGAGGAGGTGCAGGTTTGGATAGATTGATGTCAATTCTGATTCCATCCTGCAGTCAAGATGGCGACGAAATAATCGGACGTATGACTGGAAAGGAAAAATATGATGACGATAAGGAGGAGGAGGAGGAAAATTAAGATGAAGACAATAGCAGAGCAAGATAGTTATGTGAAAGGAAGACGACAAATAGTTACAGACTCATCAGATTTGCCGACAAATGTTCATCTATGTTTGTACATGATGTTATGAACCTCCATTGTACGCACAGCAGATTTTTGGAGATAATCTTGTAACCAGGCAGAAATTCTGAAATATATGTCTTCACACTAATAAATTCGCAATTTTCACATAATAATAACTTTAAAATGATTTTCTCTTGAAAAAAATCATCTTTAATTTTATGTAATTTTTACGAGTTTTCGGTATTATTTGTGTAATAGTTAATAAATCGAAAACTACGAGCAATGAACTTTCTACGTCGCAATTTCTACAGATGGCATCATAAAACAAGAACAAATAAGTTCTAGAGATGCATATTCAATTATCCGGAAAAATCTCTAATCCAGAGCCGGTTAAGTCAGATTGTATCGTGTTAGAATCTTTAATTGGTTACCTCCGATCGAAATAGTGTTATAAATCTAAACAGGCCCTTGTGGCTCTAACCGCATCGTAATTTTAGCTTACCAGCAAGTCACTGTTGTTGACCTCGATGAGAAGTCCCATAATTTAATATTTTACTATTTTAACTTTGTTAATAAAGCTTTGTGTTAGATTTTGCTTTGAGTTTTATCTTCAGTATTCAGAATTAAGCATCAAGAAAGGCATAAACTCGCCAGCCATTAGATCTCAGGTCAACTGTTCATAATTAAGCCATTATTGAGAATAAGTAATTCCCAATTAATTCAATACTTCAATCCAGAAATGCAAGCTGCCGCCCTGGAAGGATTTGGTTACATCGTCCAGACCATGCACGCTTCGATGAAACCAGAAGCAACATTTAACGGAAACTCACCGGTAACCAGTTTTTTGGAAAAATTGGATGACCACTTCATGCTCTACCCGTGCACGAATTTCAAAAAGTTACCTTAGCTACCAGCGCTTTGAGGGGCCAAGCGCTTAACTGGTTCAAATGTATAGGCAGAAGTCTCTTGGGTCAAGCAGGAAGTCCCACATATACTTACGAAAATTTCAAGACTGCCCTACTAAAAGCCTTCCCTGTTGTAAGGGATCGTGCGAAATTAGAAACGGAACTTTTCAGTATATATCAACAAAGAATCGAAAACCTCTCGAGCTTTATTTTAAGAAAAAAATTCACGTTTTCAAGCTCTTGTATGGAAACCGTCCGGATCCTGAAATAATTCAAGTGATTTTTCCGAGGTTACTACCCCCAAGTGCAAGACTTTATTGAATTAAGAAATCCGACTACACTGGAAAAGTTATTTGAGCTAGCAATCCAGTTTGAAAGTAGAAGAACGGCGGACGTCGAAAGAAGACGCCAGTATCAACAGCGAAACAAATTTGGTACGCCAAGACTACAGCAAACTCAAGTACATGGCTACGGAGAAAAAGCGAATCAGTGGGCAAGGAAACCCGAGCATTCAAAAACAGCCGGCGAACGTCGACAGTTCAATAGCAGTCCAGGAAAAAAGTCTCAAGGCCAGTGGAAAAAGAAGGAAAGCACGGAAAGGAAAAATAATTTAAACTAAAACGGATTTCTGCTGACGAGAGGGTGCGGAAATCCGAAGGCCACGAAAACCCCTCTTCCTACAAGTGAAATACAGTAATGGTGAAAAATTTGACTCTTCCGAAGATTGGAGTCTTGGTGAATAATATCCCAGCCACCGCACTCCTGGATACCGGCGCGCAGTGTTCCTGTGTGGCAGAAGAGTTTTTTAGGAAGTATTTTCGCAAATACCGCATATATAATTCGGATAATACGACAGTGTTAGCGGCGCAAGGAGAAAAATGTAAGTGCGTAGGTAAAGTACCTTTGTATATCCGTATCAAGGACGAACAAGTAAAGGTGATGTTTTTTATAGTAAAGAGTCTGCAAGCACATTTAATTTTAGGAATAGATTTTCTTTCAGAAGCACAAGCTACGCTGGATTTTAATGAAGCGTCCCTTAAGCTGACAATGAAACCAGTTCGTACAGAAAACGCTGAACCGCCGATGTTAAAACTTGACCACCTCCCTAATGACGAGCAAGGAAGAATCCGACAAGTGGTAAGTGAATTTGCTTCGTTATTTAGTGATATTCCAGGATTCCAGGATTTACTCAGGTTACTAACCATAGTATTGACACCGGAGATGCAATGCCAGTTCGTCAAAAACCATACCGGTATGATAAGAATAAGGAAAAAATTATAGAATGGCATATTACCGATATGCTACGTAAAAAGATCATAACGCCCATCTCAAGTAGTTATGCTAGCCCGGTGGTTTTATGTAAGAAAAATAATGACTATCCTTTGACGCATCCAAAAAGATGGACATTCGCTATTGATTACCGTAAATTAAACTCCATAACTAAATATCCGGTATATCCGTTACCGATTATAGAAGAAATTCTAAGGAACATAAAATCAACCAAATTTATGACGACTTTAGACTTAACGATTGGTTATTTTCAAATAGGGGTGAGGCCTGAGGACGTGCCTAAGACTGCTTTTATAACCAAGTCTGGCACTTATGCATTTTTGCGTATGCCGTTTGGCCTTTCAGGGGCCCCGGCAACATTTCAGCGATGCATGGACATTGTGTTAAGACCTGTTCTTGGGAAGTCCACATTTATCTATTTAGACGATATCATTATTACTAGTGATAATCTCGACCAACACGTACAGGATTTAAGACAGGTGTTTTCTTTATTAAATGAGGCCGGTCTAAAAGTTAATGTCGAAAAGTGCAAATTTGCAGCCCCTGAATTAAAATATTTAGGTTACAAAATATCTCAAAAAGGGATCGAGACAGATGAATCAAAAATAATCGCTGTACAAAAGTATCCGACTCCAAACACGGCAAAAGAAGCTCTCTTCTTTTCTAGGACTTTGTGTTCATATTATAGGTCCTTTATAAAAGATTTTGCGGCTATCGCTGAGCCATTGTTAAAATTAAAAAGGAAAAAGGCAAGATTCTCGTGGACGGCCGAAGCCAATAGTGCTTTCGAAAAATTAAAACAAGCATTAACGCAAGCCCCTGTGTTGAAATTTCCTGAAAAGGATGAGAATTTAGAAATTTCAGCGGATGCTTCGGATTATGCGGTAGGAGCGGTACTTTCGCAAAATCAGCAGCCCGTGGCATTTTTTAGCCGAACTTTAAATCAAACACAAAGAAAACTATTCCGCGACCGAGAGAGAGGCACTTGCAGTTCTGTTAGCAGTGCAAAAGTTCCGAGTCTATTTTGGAAAGGCGCCGATAACAGTGTACTCTGATCATGCGGCGGTAACTAGATTGTACTCAGGGAAAAATTTATCCCCAAGGTTAATAAGATGGGCACTCAAGCTGCAAGAATATAATCTGGTAATCAAGCATACCCCCGGAAAGGAAAATATCGTAGCAGATGCCCTATCAAGAATTAAAATAGATGAACAAGGGAATACCGTAAAGGTGGCAATGCTCACAGCATGTACAATAAATTCCCGAGAAACTGTAATAACCGAACTGGGTAAGGATCCTGAGTTTGGAAGCATTTATGAGTATTTGAAGGATCCTGAAAATTTTAGCCACCAAGATATTGTGGCGATAAGAAATAGGGCGGCCCATTACGAACTAATAGATGGTCTATTATTTTATACAAAAACTACGAATTCCAACAACGAATTTCGACCTGTTATCCCAGCTAGTCTTAGATTAAATATCCTGCAGGAGCTCCATGACAGCCCTTTAGCTTCTCATGCTGGTATTCGAAAAAACTATCCAACGCGTACGCGAGGCAGTCTACTTTCCTGAACTGCAAAAGTTAACAAGGGCGTATGTCCAGTCCTGCCCAACATGTCAAGCAGTTAATTATATTAATTTCCGCCCGGCCGGGTTTCTAAATAGTATTAAATCCGAATTTCCAAATGAAATAATTGGCATCGATTTATTGGGCCCTTTCCCAAAAAGTCAGTTAAATAAAAGTCGCTATCTCCTTGTTATGGTTGATCATTTTAGTAAATGGACCGAAATTGTTCCCTTAAAACGAGCCTCCGCGAAATTAGTTACTGATTCTATTTTAAATAAGTATATTTTAAAATACGGGGCGCCCCTAAAAGTTATATATCGGATAATGGTCCTCAATTTGTAAGTAATACTCGTATATTTGAAGACATGTGCCAAAAACTGGGCATACGTCATTTAAAAATGGTCCCGTATCGGCCGCAATCAAATATAGCGGAACGGGTCAATAGAAATATAGTGAAAATTATCCGTAGTTATGTTAAAAATTTTCATAAAAGCTGGGATAACTATGTCAATGAATTTGCTTTCGCCCTTTGGACCGCAAAACATGATACAACGGGCAAAACTCCTGCTGAGTTATTTCTAGGCAGAAAGATTATAACACCGTTAGATAAATTATTTTATGTGCAACAAAGAGCCCCAGAATTTAAAATGGGTGATATAGAAAAACTAATTAAGGAAGCAAAAAAGAATACGGAAGTAGCACAAAGAAAACAGAAGCTCTATTATGATTTGAAACGACGGGGAGTAACTTATAAAGTAGGGGATGAAGTTTTAAAAATTAAGCATTCACTTTCTTCAGCACCAGAAGATAAAACTGCCAAATTTTTTCCACGATTTGAAGGACCATATGTTATAGAAAAAATAACTCACGCTGTAGTAGTGTTAAAAGCCAGAAATGGTGAAACCTGTTCCGCAAACATTGATCAAATCAAGCCCTACTTCGATCGTAATAAAATGCAAATATTTTCAGATCTTTTGCAGGATCCGGCACGGCAGACACCGCAGGCACAAGCTCCAGAGGTGGAAAAACGACAAGTACAAGGGCAAGCCAATAAGAGGCAGGAGCAAGTGAAAAGAAAATTGCCCCCCGCGGAAAAATTGAAGGTAGCAAGAAAAAGAAGCCGTTCCACCGTCCAGAAAAGAGAGTTCACGAACACCCCCAGAATGAAGAAGGGAGAAGGACGACGTATGTGAAGAGAACCAGGAGAAATGACGGCAACTATAACCCGGCTCTAAAACGGAAGATCGACTCATCCGACAGGACTCTCCGCAGCAAAATGTCCGAACTGCGGAAGGGCCATCAGCGGCGGAGGAAAAGTTACAAGGAAAATTTGAACGGCCAACAACGAGGTCCAAGCAGGAACACGACAGAAGTTTTCCCGGTTCCGCCAAGACCAGCTGCCATCAAACGGCCAAGACCACAAGCAGAGAGGAGAAAAGAAGGTATTCAAGGGTGGCCGAACTGGTGAAAAAAAGGAAGCTTCCAGAGGAAAGCACTGAAGGGCGAGCCCGTACAAGAAGGAGGATAAATCACACAACGATCTGCAATACCTTTAAAGACTGGGCCCAGAAAAGGATGTCCGAATATCACAAAGATAAGTAAAATTTTATGTTACTTTGCAAACTTAAGTTAATCTTTCATTCTTACTGCAAGTGGCAGATTTCAAGAAGTTTTACCTCATGCGAGGTCTACCTTTATCGCCAAAAGGGCGAGAAATGAGTTTTTACCGATTTTGGTATTATGTTTTTCAATTACTCGCGCGTAAAACTTAAAGTTGATGTATAATAGCGTTGTGTAAAGACTTAAATATTGTAAAAAGTTATTGTATAAATTTTATTTAAAACATTCTAGCAAGAAAGAAGTTTTAGTCTGAAAGACTTTTTGAAATGTAGTATTTCAATGTAGAAAGAATTGGCACTTGCTTTGAAAAGAATAGAAGTTAACAATGTACTACTAATGTATGTTTTCAAATGTGTAAAATTAACGGCATGTTAATATGTTCTTATATACAATGTGAACTGTTATTTTAAATGTTAAGAAATACCGTGATATGGTAAAAGTGAATGTTAAATTTTTTTTTATTCGTGTGACTGTAAAAAGACTAAAGCATGGCGAATATGTGTTAAAGGTTGAATGATGTAGTTAGGCTCTCTGACGCTACACTTTAGAGTTAGCCACTTTTAGAATAGTACCTCAGGGTTTAGAGTTGAAATTAGGGTGTGTTAAGAGGTCTTGTTATGTTGAATTTTAACACGTTAGTGTTTTGATTGTAGGAGGAAGTGTGGAACACGTAGACAGAAACACATTCGTGTTTGGTGTTCTTTTACAACACATGTCAGAGAGCACGGGGAGAGATAATTAAAATAGTCATGAATGAAATAAGAATGTTAAGAGAAGTATAATTATATGTTACTTGCCATTTCATTGTGTAACATTTCATTAAACTAGTTTTTCCTTCCAGATCTCTGGAAGGAACCAGAATTGAATAAAAGCTCCTGTTTAGATGCAGTACAGATGAAAAAAATTGTTGTATATCCTGGGAGCTGCTATTGTAAAAAAAAAAAAAAACAAATTTCTTTCTTTTAAATTTTCTAGTTTCTAGCGAAGTATGTTTGTAAAAGATTGGCCTCGCGTTAGATTCTAGAGCTAAAAGTTTTCAACAAGGTCGTTTTAGACCTCAGTTTCAAACTAATTAACTCTGGCGGGAAGTATGTAAGGATCTTAAGTTTTACTAACGTTTATTTTTATTTTAAATCTTTACTATCACTTCTTATTTTTACTTCCTACTTCCGGCCAGAATTATAAGCGTTAAGGTTTTTATGCAAAGTTTGTCTGGCGAACGCCAAGTATTTAAGTTGTGGCCTTTTGCCAAGCGAGAGAGAGGAAGCAGTGAGTTCGAAGCAGGCCGCTTACCTTAGAAGTTACGCAGTTGCTTGTTGCCTTCCAGGCCAGAGGTTTTAATCCTCTTGATAAATTTTAAACGTATTGTAGTGTTCTCAGTTATCTGTACTACATACGCCTTCCTGTTAATTATAAGGCCAATCTTCCACGTTATTATTATTCTAAAGTTAAATTAGAGTTTAGTTTTATTTTTTATACTTTTACGTTAGACCCCAAGTGGCGGGTCAGTGTATTCCGAAGTACGGAAGTTATTGTATATAGAGAAAAATAAAGGGTTTTGTATACCCTTCGTGTGTATCCTGTCTACGTACCACAATTAGTGAACATAGCTTTAGTAAGCTCTCTGTTCCGAGTCAGCTCTTTGTATGTTCCCGAAGAAGGTGAGAAGGAACATTGACCCTGATATACTCTCCTAATATGTTTCTTCATTTAATGTTGTTTAATAGAGAATTTTAACCTTTATTAAAATAAGATGAAAATTAAAAAAAGGAGAGAAATATATAAAAAAAATTGAAAGCGTTCAGATTTTATATTACGCCCACAAGGGCGTTTTTTTAACGTATTGATTTTTACCTTTACTTATTAAATCTCATGTTTTTCACACTTTAAACCATAAAATTGAATTCAACAGCAGTATCACAAAATATTTAAAAGAGCATATATTTGGAATTTCCGATACACAGTCTCGTGCGCTGGAGATAAAAATGCTTTCTGCCCTGTACAGTGTTGCCATTGCTCGTTTTGAAATCGTTGAGTTTGTTAATGAAAAATTCCATATTGTTTGACAAAATATGAAAGAGATAATAAAACAAATTCCAAATTCCACATTTGGGCTTCTAGATGCTCATATTCGAGTGGAGGACTACGTTATTAAGAATTTGATGTCTCTAGGTGCCATTCCTTTTCAGAGTTCGAGAAACATACATATGTTCATACAGATTCTTCATTATTTAATTTCTTTAAATATCATGCAGGGCTCAAATTTGGTGGCAACAATTAGAAAAGTGATCCGACGCAAAATGCCAAAACAAAATTTAATAGCCCCCTTCTGGTCAAATTTCCCTTCTGGGCTAATCAACTTAAAATCCTCTTACTTGTATTACAGTAAAATACAGACTTGGCTTACCCTATAAAAAGAACTTAACTTACACGTTTAGCTAAATCCAAAGGGCACAACTGAACTATTTGTGCTACAAGAACAGAACTGCATCCTTTGGTTATTACAATATTTCTCCTCAGTAACGAAACACTTAAGCACTTACTCAGTTTCTTTCCTTTTGTTGTGCTGGCAGGTTCAGTATTTACATTCTCTTGAACTTCATTAATATGAACTGATATTTTAAATACCATTTTTCGATATCTAACCTCTCCGGATCGAGGCAATGGACGCTGCTGCATGTGCGCTTTGACAGTCTTCGTCCTTCTCTTCGACGGCTCTACAGAGGAAAAAATGTATCGATCAATACATAAATGAAAAAAACACAGGAAACTGCAACAAAGATTATGTGCATGAATAAATCATGAAAATCATACAACATAAGTTTGAAATGGAAATTACCTTATTTTCCAAAACATAAGATGTATATTCTCCACGAAAACTTACCTCAAGAGTGAATTATAACTTTCGAAATATAAACAGCGCATGCGCAGACTGATACCCCCCCCATCGCGCTGGGGACCAAACTGCTGGATTAATTTCAGCCTCATACAGGCTCTTAGTCACCGTGTTGCCGTTGAAAAGTTTTAGTTCGAGTGAACGGGCTGGGTACGCAACTGCTTCCACGGTTTTCCCGACGTTTGTATGAATGTACTAGTTTTTCTTGGTAAAGCTTTTACGAAGACCTAATATTTTAGGTGGCTAGCTCTCGAGTGCTTAGCCTTAACTAAACTAAACATTACCGGAACCGTTTTGTAATGGAAAAGTGAACTGAGAATAAAATGAAGACCACACGGAAGCACAATGATGATGATTTTTAATTCCACCAATGCACATATTTGAAAGTGCAGTTCAATGACGTTCTGTGTTAAGCTGAGTTCAAGTTTCCAAATTTTCTTAGGGCTAGTACGTTAAATTTATTTTCAATCATTTGTAGGGATTTATATTTATTTTAACTAACAAGTTGAAGATTAATTTTAAACTTTCCTATAAGCCTTCATTCCTCTAATTGTCAATGCCAGAATATTTAAATTTGGTAGCGCGCGCAAAGGAATGCAAATTCTGCCTTGTGAAGAAAGGGTTTAACCGAGGTTCAGTAGGAAAAAGAGAATTAGGCTGGCGTCGTCACCGCAGTAGCGTGAGCTACTACTCCCGAAGTTATTACGTAGTTACGTGGTTTATGTGGCATTTACTTGCTGCTACTCGTTTCGACGCGGGTTTAAGAAACAGGAATATCTCAGCCCTGTAGCTTAGTTCTACTACTTGTGCATATCTTCGAATTTTTAGTTTAGTTCTGTGATTTCAGTTACCGCCCAAGGTCGAGTTAACGCAGTGTAAATTTTAAAGAGGGTACTTTTAATCCTTCTTCTGTGTAGTTCCTACCAGAACTTACTACATGTGCGATTCTCACTTAGAAGTTAGTCAAGTAGACCCTACATACTGTAGGATAAGATGCTGTGATTACTTTCAACAATATGGAACTTATTTCAATAAGCTGACATCCACTCCTGAAGTTTTTAAATTTACACCTTCTTGTTCTTTAAAATTAAAAATAGCGTCTGTTCTTCCAATAAAATATATGACTCAAAAACGGGAAGGGGATGAAAGCTTTCAGATTTTATATTGCGTCCAAAAGGATGTTTTTTTCATTTTTTATTTCAGTTCATATCTTTTTATTTTATATTACGCCCAAAAGGATGTTCTTTCTACTTTTAAATTTTTTTTAGCATACAAGTTTCGACAGCCGTTTCCAAAGCATTTGGGCTAAGAATATTTAAAAACAGCATATTTTTAGAATTTCTGACAGACAGTGTCGTGAGATGGAGATAAAAATGTTTTATTCCGAACAATGTTGCCACCGCTCGCTTTGAAATCGTTGAGTTTTTTAATCAAAATTTCGTTAAAGTTTTAAAAAATATGAAAGAGATAATAAAATTCGAAATTCAAAATTCAGGCTCCCAGGTGCCCGTGTTTGGGAGGAGAACTACGATATTCAAAATTTAATGGCTCTAGGTACCGTTATTTTTTCACAATGCGAGAAACAAACATACATTCATGCAGATTCTTCATATTTAATTTCTTTAAATATAATATAGAGTGATAATATTTTGTGGCAACAATTTGAAAAGTGATTTAATGATTTCAGTGATTCGGTGCAAAATGCCGTTTCGAGACTAATAGCCCCTCTGGGCTAGCGGCTCTTTAGGCTAAAAATTTTTAAACTGTTAAATTAACAGCAAAAAGATTAAAATGGATACTAAGGTAAATATTACTTATATTTGTATACCTCTTTCCATTCAAACTAATTTAAAATATAAATGAAAAACATCATTTTATTACCGGAAATAAATAGCTGTATAATAATTAGCTTAAATGCAAACACTTCAATTCCTTCAACGTAGATAAAATGTTAAGCTAGTAAAGAATTCAGTAGATAGGGAGAGATTCATATGAAAAAAAAAATAAACAGAATTTTACGGGAGCAAATTTATGAATTTCTAACCGACGTCAAATTGAGTTCTTTTGAACATGTATGCTTTGGAATGAACGCAAATATGCACATTGTGAATGACATTCTAAAAGCAACACATATGTCAATAAAGAAGTTGTCATGATAATGGCAGTAATGATGTTTGCACAAATTCGAGTTCCAGTGCTAATGATAAAAATAGCTTTTTTTTTTGGTTGCTCCAAATGGCCAGACACTTGTAATTTACAGTCTTCTTCCGGAAAGGCCAAATCCATTAGTCGTTCTGCCGTCTCATCAGCGAGAACAATAAAATAACAGGAAACAACAAAATTAGTACTCCAGAAAGCGAAGGCTCTGTCCCAATTTTGATGGCAAACAGCTCGAAAAATCTCTTACCTCTATTCTACCACTGAAGTTCTCGACAGAACTTCTGGCTCGCTAATATTTAAAGTTCCTCCATGTCGCAGAGACATTAGAGATTTACAAACATCTAAACTTTCTCCAGAGTTCAAACCGGGCCAACAATACAGCCATCAACATCTCTAACCATTATTTAAATCAGGCACCAATATAACTTATGTTAAGAAATCTTTTTTCTACCTTAGCATAACATTTTTTTCTGCTCAGTTTTTATCTCTAATGCACTATAATATTACAATATGCATATTCTAAGTATTATTTTACTTAGAATATGCAACCAATGCTAAAACTTCGAGCATTATATAGAAAAAACTGGATGGAGATGGTTATAACAAAAATAAGAATGAACATCCATTTAAAAGACGCATATTTTGCCAATGCATTTCGTAGAAAATGCGTGATTATTAAACATACGTATCTTTTGTTACACTGAAAAAACTACAACTATAGGACAATAGCATAACATATTGTATAAAGCAGATAAGAAACAAAAAAAGCTAAGAAAAATACAGAGAATGAAATGATAAAATACAAATAATACCAAAGAATAAAATTCCAGAGAATGACAAAAATAAAATATTAAGAAAGGCAAACTTATAAGATGTCTGCTAATAAAAGCTGGAAAGAATTGATTTTTTTCTCTGCAAAGCACATTTATTCACAAAAAATAAATTTAGAATATTTTATATCAAGTATAAAAGGAACACAAAGATGAAAGAAAATTACTACAGCAAAACATACTGAGGGGCATACAGCAAACATATTAAAAATGAAGATTCCAAATGGTTTGTTATAAGAAAAATAATACTAAAATATTGTAAATATTTTATATGTTCAAACTTTATAAAATACAATGCCCAGAAATAAGATCCGTCTTATCCGTCAAAGATTTTTTTCCTTGAAATTCAGATCTTAATGGAATATATTAATATTAAAAAAATTCAACGCCCCACACATACGATTTTAATACCATTGTTATAAATAGCATTTATTTGTATTGAAAGACGTATTATGTTGGCTGTGTAAACATACAAGTATACAGCAACTTGATTAGATAAGGTATGGGAAAAAAGATGGCTTCAGACAATTTTTAATAAATAAGAATACAAATATTTTCTTTTCAAATCATATATAATTGTACTTGTTTTTGTGCAGTCTAGACTGCTGTTCTCCGTTTTTTATTTTATTCATGCATGTATAATTCTTAACGTTTTAATTAATTACTTTTGTAAGCCCTATATTTCACTTTGTTATTCACGGAAAGTTAGCATTTTCTCAATATATCGGGTGACCCAAAAGTCCGTTAACATTTGAAAGCTCCAATTCGATATGCTACGCAGAGCAGCGGCTTTAACGAACTAAAATTCATTGCAGGATAAAAGCGCAATACGGTTAATCATGTGTGCTTCTGCAGTAAGCGTAGAGTGGTCTCTCACGAAAATGTATTATAGAATTCTATAAAAAAATTCACTGTTAAAATTCTCAAGCAGTTTTTTATAATTATGGTCCAATTTTCGAAACAATGTACAGAAAACTGGGCTTTTTACCACTTATGCCCTTTATACCGTCGTCTGAACACAGCTTTACAAAACTGATTATATATGTAAGAAGTATACTTATCGACGACCGATGACTGACGTCACTCAACTTGCTACCATTGCAACTCAGAGAGGAGCATATAAACACTAGCCGTGGACGACAGCAGACGTGCTCTCACGTAAGCAAAGCCTACGGGCTTGGAAACCGCAAAGCAGATAATAACACTGGGCCTTCGAGGAGTGTTAAAGGAATTGTTGTCTTCCAGTTATGTAACAATGTCCTGCCAGCGTTTGGGAACACCTAAAGTATTTTCCCGAGATGCAAATTACAAGACTCTGTGAACTCTTCATTATCCTGTGAACCCTTTCTGAACTTTGCTATCTTCCGTGGGGTCACCGACAACTATTTACCAGCTTTCAAATCATCATCCTAGTTTAGTAATAAAGTTGTGTCGTGAATATTTTCGTCTCGTGCTCTAGTCATCCACATAAACCTACACATATAACTGGTGAAACGAAACTATCTATCTACTTATCTATTGTTGCTGCTAGTTCTCTTCATTAACTTGTATTGTTTCTTCATTTTTAGAAATAACAGAAAAATTATGGCTTAAATCTCAGAAAAGTCGTTCATTTTTATTTATTGATACTCCCAGATATTTCTTAATCGTTATTGACATCTTATTCTAATAGTCATCTGAATAGGCATACCATTTACAATTCCAGATCAGGTACTAAAATATTTAATTATTTACATTTTTCTCAATAACGGGTTAAAAATATTTCATTCGAAATTAAGATACCGTAATAAATAACACAATGGTAGCGACATCTGATCCTCTGCCAAGTGTTTAAAACCCATCTCAGAAGTTATTTATGGAAGTTACGCAAACGAAAGCCTTATCAACAGCTGTTATTCAATGACCGACTTTCAGCAGTTCTTCCACTGCTGTAGTTTGTACAGAATACACAGGTATAAGTCCATTCTCTGTAGATTCAGAGCTCTTTTACGTCCAGACTGAAATTCTCTGCACCACCTGGAGGTCTTCGCGCGTGGAAGGTATCCAAGGCCACAAACTATCAACTTAAGTTGTAATATTTCTTCTTTACCTACTTCTCTCTTTTGCCAAGAACTGAATCTTAGTCAGTTGAGGTAACCGTGAGACAAAGTCTGCGTACGTTCTTTTGAATTTTTTTCACATGCAACGGAATGAATCACATGTTGAATTCGCCTTCTTTTGTACAGATATTATCACTACGCGAATCTATTATTCAGAAGTACGACTTATATAAAAGATTACAAGCGTACAAGCATGCAAACCATTGAAAGAAATTTTGCATAGTTACAGGTGTTCATTTAAGAAATTTGTTCGACTAAAAAGTATATTTTACAGAAATAATGCAAACTTAATTCAGGAAAAGGCATATAAAAGTTACATGCATTATTTGTTTTATTACACTACGCTAATATCAAATATTTTCGTAATATTTATAACAGCACAAAATTGATGAGAACTTACTTTTCTTTTTCCTATTAATGACTGAGTTCACCTTTTTCTCGAAATGAGAAACATCAGCACTATGAATATAATTGTATATGGAATTTCCCATAATATCTATCTGTAAAACAATAAAAGAAATCCAATAAATTGGTGTAAACTGGAAATCGCAATACAAACTAAGTAAAGATATTGTTACGAATTTTGTATTTAACTAGATACATTTAGTAGAATTGTAATTAAAATTGTTTTATTTCCCAGTGCAATGCAGCGCGTGATAAATTTTAAGAGAAAGCTACCCCGAAATATTTAACATTTTAGTAGTTTAAATATAACTACTGATTATTACTGTGTGATATTATGAACACTTCTACACATACTTCTGAGAAAAATTTCAGCGTTCTGTTATATTTCTTTTGATAAGAATAAATTTTATTAACCTTTTATCGGACGTGTGCATTCAATCTATTACGAACCCGTAAGCACGCAACAATATCAGTCAAATTGAATACCCAGATAGATAATAATTTCAACATTACAATAAAAATCATATGCCAAACTGATTTTTCTTATAGTATCAGAAACAGTATTCAAAGTAAGTAACAGAAACCAGAAATACATCTCCTACAATGTTGTTTGTTAAAACTATGCCATATAATGGCAGTTGTTTATCTACTGTTTAAAATAATCAAGAAAGCAGTCGGAAACATACTCGGGAACAAGCAGTCTGCAACATCCTTGACAACAGATAATCAGTCTTATCGAAAGAAAGAAGTCTGTAACCTATCTGACTACAAGACTCTCCAACATAGAAAATGAATCCCTCATAGTGCACATTAAATTATCTTCTCTTTTGTTTCTATACCCGCGTGAACATATTAGTGGTACTGATGATATGATATTCACGTAGGTTTTTCTCAGACTTCAGAGGTCTGTCCAATTGCTTGGGATAGGGTTGGTGAGTCCACCATATCCTTGGGCCTGGGTTAGAATCTATTGATAAGACATGAATGCTTGCTATCGTCATGTCTACATGAAGTACAGGCATAAAATATACTGCGGCATCTGCGAGCGGTTAGTAGTAAGGAAAGTGGGGCATAAAACGTTTCGAAACCACCGCTAGAAATCAACAACTCTTTAGCGTTATGGCTATTTCATTGGATGGACCATTTTCCCTGGTATCTCGTTAAAAACTGGAATAATGATCTTCGTCTACCTATGAACTTAAAGTACCGACAGGATGTCCACGCTGTATTTTTATTTACCCACTCATTCTGGCTAGGAAATTGGTTGGTATAAGGAATTTTAGTTGTATTCCAAGTGTGCAACGTGGCTTTGAGCCGGTTTCCATACGAAAATCGTTTACGAACGCATCTCTTCCCTTAGGAAAATAGCCCTCGCATTTTTTGCTATAATAAAATAAACTAAACCATTCAGCAGAGTTTCAGATTAAGATGGAATTCTGGTTATCTTTTTAAAACGATTAGCTGAAAGAATAATTGAATCCAAGATTATAGTGATAACTTTCTATTGAACTATTTTAGAAATTAGCAGCTACGTGGATAGCCCTCGTCTGGCTTTTAAATATAGCAGGAAAATGCCTGAAGGGAACACCAAACGTTAAATTTAAAAACTGCGCAGAATTTTACTCTGCAGAACAACTTCATAAAAAAAAATATTACATATAACAAAATTACAATGAAATACGCATTATCTCTTAATACAAATATTAATTATCCTAATAAATAAATTAACCAACTTCCTGTTGCCTTCTCTCAACAAACGTCCAGTATCCAAGAGAAGCATTAAATTTAAAAACTGCACAGAATTATGGCCCTCTTTTTTCCTAGTGGCAACAGTGCTGATTTTCAACAGTCATCAGTCTAGTAGACAACTGAATGAAACATTGTTGCCAAAATCACATTTCTAAAAGAATGAAACAATTCAAAATGATTAGATAAAATCGAAAAAAAAAAAAAAATAATCTGATTCGAATTTTGAAAAAAATCGCTTCGAGGTGCATTGGCTCTTGTCTAGATGCACCTATATATCAAATTTCGTAGCCCTGGGTCTATTAACTTACGCGCAGCACAAACGAAAGACACACAGACTCTTTCTTTTTTTATATGTAGAGATAAATATGAGGTATACAAGTTATAAAATTATTGAATATTATGAGAAGTTAAGCAGTTGAGCTACCAGATCTTTAAACTGAGTTCGGCCCCCAACGGCCGAGCGGTGACATCGCTGAAAAGAATAAAGAAAAAAAGTAAAATGTACTTACATTTTGATATCCAATGTAATCTTCTACACATCTTGAACAGAACACAATGACGCCTGAGAAAGTAGTGACGATGACGAACCCACCAATAGTCTATAAAATATAAGAAAGAAAGAACTAACAAAATCTTTTTTATTAAATTGCGCAGAAAAAGCTCATTGGGATTTTATATTAAGTACTAGCGGGCAAGCCCGCCAGCTGAGCGGGCTGAAACCCGCTATATATCGCTCGTGTGTAAAAGAGTTCCCGTGTTAAATTTCGCCGGTATTCGAAAGTTGGACCGAAATACCAGTGTTCATCGATTTTACCCGGGCTGCGCCCGCTTAATTCCCAAATGCGTCCATAAGATCTTGCATACACGTTACACGTGCGGAAAATTACGAAAACACCCATGCAGGAAGCCCTTTCTCCGATATTCGAAAGTTGGACCGAACTACCAGTCTTCAGCGATTTTACAGCTCAGCCGCTAATGGGGGCCTTGTACGAAGTGTAAGGCCCGCCAGCAAGCCCGCTTTCCTTATTGGTGTGTATTAGAGTTCCCGTGTTAAATTTCGCCGGTATTGAAAAGTAGGACAGAACTACCAGTGTCAGCGGTTTTTCGCGGGCTCCCCGCGCTTGATTCACATATGCATCCAGAAGATACTGCATACACGATACTCTTGCGGAGAATCACGAAAACACCCATGCAGCCAGCCCTTTCGCGGGTATTCGAAAGTTGGACCGAGCTACCAGTGTTCAGCGGTTTTGCGCGTGCCGCGCCCGCTTTATACATGTATGCATGCACAAGATACTACATATACCATACACACGCGGAAAATCACGAAACCACACATGCCACACTCGCCGGGACTCGTAAGTTGGACCGAACTACCAGTGTTAAGCTTTCTTGCGCGGGCTGCGCCCGCTTTATTCACTTATGCATGCACAAGACATTGCGTATACGATACACATACGTAAAATCACAAAAAACACCCGTGTAGCCTGCCTGTTCGCCGGGATTCGAAAGTTGGACCGAACTATCAGTGTTCATCGGTTTAGCGCGGGCTTCGCCCGTCTTATGCACATATGTATCCAGAAGACACTGCATACACGGTACAAATGCGGAAAATCATGAAAACACCCATGCAACAGCCTGCTCGCCGGGACTCGTATGTTGAAGCGAACTACGAGTGTTGAGCTTTCTTGCGCGGGCTGCGCCCGCTTTATTCATTTATGCATCTAGAAGACGCTGCATACACGATACAGATGTGTAAAATCACAAAAACACCCGTGTAACCTGCCTGCACGCCAGGATTCGAAAGTTAGACCGAACTACCAGTGTTCAGCGGTTTTGAGCGGGCTCTGTTCTCATTATTCATGTATGCATTCAGAAGATACTGAATATACTATACACATGCGGAAAATCACGAAAGCTCCCGTGCAGGCAGCCCGTTCGCCGGGATTCGAAAGTTGGACCGACCTACCAGTGTTCAGTGACTTTACGGTGCCGCTAATGGGCCGTTGTAGAAAGAGAAATTGCGAAAATTTACGGGTTTGTTATTCAAACAATAGATTCGTTATTAAAATTCCTTTATTTTTTATAAACTTCAAAATAATCACCACATAAAATTGTATCAATATATATATATATAATGCGATTTATAATTCATAATTATTTATAATAAGAAAAGTTCTCATATACCGTCTCCAAGGATCACATGTTCAATTTAAAACCCAAAACGAAAAAAATGTTTAAATTTACAGAATCCGCGCAAAGTTTCAAAAAAATTGTTTCACAAGAATACAGTTAAGTTAAATTTGCATGTATGAATTAAATCAAAATCACTGGAACTTATGTGACTGAGCATATACATAGAAATGACCTATAAATCCGTCCACTGCATTTGATTAGTATTTCAGTCTTCACAGCAAGGAAACAGCGTGTCTGAAAATATCAAAATTTAAACCTGCAAGTTAACCAATTAAAAAGTCTTATGAAGATAACGTTCTGACCGGATTCAAATCCAGAACTTCAAAATCTACAGTGCTCCGAAACCGTTCGTAAAACTGATTTTGGGATATGAAGCTTATATAAATTTTTCTTTATCATCATTTAATGAATTCTAAGATATATCTGATTGAATTTAATGATATAAGAATAAATTCCCTTCATTCTGAGACCTGTTTTGCTACCGTTCCTTTTGCAGTAATCAGACCTTATTTTTCAGGAAAATAATGCCAGACCACGTACGGCACGTGTTGCTATGAAGTGTCTTATAGCTTGTAAAACACTTTCTTGGCAGCAAGATCGCTAGATCTCTCTGCCATCGAGCATGTCTGGGATATGACGGGAAGGCGACTGCATCTACCAGGGAATGTTGATGACCTAGCCCGACAATTGGAAAGAAAAAAAATGGAAAAACATTTGGAAAGAAATACTGCAGGAGACCATCCGGGAGCTTTATCAGTCTATGCCACGCCGTGTGGCAGCTTTCACCTAGGCTAGAGGTGGATCAACATCTTACTGAGCTCGTTACATTGCAATTATGTAACTTTGAAATTAATCATTCAATTGTTCTAACATTTTAATCATTTTATATTATGCACATAAGCTTCCTATCCACCATATGTTTTCTCTATCGGACAATTTCTTTTTGGTGCGTCGATTTTTTTTTTTATAGAGTGAATATTCTCACTCTGTTACTCGGCTCGGTGAGCTCAGTTTTTTTTATTCTTATATGTTTGCAAGTTATGCATTTTTTGCTTTAAAAATAATCGAATTATGTTATTCATATCTTTCAGTTAAGGTTTTTATGCCTTTAGTTAATCTGCATGCAATAGTTGTAGAATTATCATCAATTTAATAGTTGTTTAGGAGCGGCTGAGCCCAATTTTTGTTTATCATAGCAGCCATATTTGTTTACATTTCAAACTTAGCAGAATAGTGAATAAAGTCAGTTTCTGCACCTTCAATGTATTTTTGCCTAGTGGGACCAAAAGTAAATTTTTAGTTTCGCGCACCAAAAAATCGGCTTTGTTGTCTGTTGGCCCTAATTTTACTTGTAAAAATTGTTTTAACTGCATTTGGTGTTTTAATTTTTTCGATATTTTTCAATTTTAATGAAGACATTTTGAGGTTTTATGTACTTTTGCCGTGAAGTGAGCGAAGCCTTACCTTTGCCGCGAAACCCTACTGCGAAGTGACAACTAAATTAATTGAATGAGAAATCTATCTCTAATGAAATTCAAGGAAATACGTTTAAATGCAGCAAAAAATGTGTATAATATTCCGTACAAGGAAGTAATGTGGTACCCGCATCAGGTTTTTAATTCAGAATTTATAGTTAGATTAGTGTGTGCATATATATATATATATAACTGATATGAAAGGAGAACTTATATATATATATATAACAAATATTCTCTATTCGTAAAAAGTTAATTTAAATTAAAATTTTTAAATTATGAAATTTCAATTGCATACGAATAAAAGATTAATTATTGCCGCAAATTAATTTACAATATCATTTAGATTCTGAAAGCATATATAAATTAAGTGCAAGTATCTAAAACCACAAAAAAATATATAATATTTCAGAAAATTAATCTCAAAAATTTTTTAAAGAATTATTAAGACTATTAATTTTGTATTATTTATAGATTCTATATAGTATTTTTGGTTTACGTACACGATTCGTGTCGGGAAAGTTTCCAATAGGCAAGGGTTTCTAAATTACTTTGGTTTTCTAAAAAGCTTTGGTTTTCTACTCTTAATTACATTAGCAATTTTCCTTTAATTAATATTTTGATTCCTAGTCAATTTGCTTAGTAAATTTCTCAAAATTCCTTTAGTTCAACTTCCCCTTGATAAGATCTGTCTCCTGCCTGCTCAACAATTATTCACTTATGCAAATTAATTTAGTCTTAAAAATTCTTTAAAAAATGTTTTGAGGGGATTTATTTTTTGAAATATATTGTTTCATGGTTTTAGATACTTGCACTTAATTTACATATGCTCTCAGAATTTAAATGATATCGTAAATTAGTTCGCAGCAATAATTAATCTTTTATTTGTATGCAATTAAAAATTTAATAACTTAAAAATTTAATTTATATTAACTTTAAATTAAACTTTTCTACGAATAGAAAATATTTGTTAAATTCAAATTTCATTCCTTGCAGCAGTGAAAAGAGAATTATTTTAAATTTAATTTAACTTTAGTTTTTATTCTTACGAAACACACACACACACACACCTATATATATATAATTTTGAATAAAATTCTAGCAGTTTTCAGTATAATCAAGCATTCTGAAGGCTTCTTCGGAAGTAAAAACATTTTGTAAAGGTAAGTGAAGCAACAATATTATTTATAATGATTAAATGGGCTGAGTAAATAGAAAACGAACGTAATACAGTATTTGATGAAACCAGCAATGAAACGTGGAAAAGCTAAGATATGAGAATTTTGATATCATTAGAAAGGAATTTGATTAGAATTACCGTATTCTCGCGTGTATAAACCGCATCCTTAATTTATGCCTCTAATTTTTTTTTAATTTACTCATTTTCAAAATACACAAAATTAATGTAAAAATTAAATAATGTCAAAAAATTATAGCTAAATTATAATCATTCGCATATATAATAAGCCGCAGCTCCGTGTATGATGTATTTTTACAATTTTTAATTTAGTCTTGAAATTAATCTTTACATAAAAGATATTAAGAAAATTACATACAAAACAATTCTACGTAGTTTTGAACGCGTTGTCTGTTAAAATTCAACCACATTCATGCCAACAGATCAACATCATTTTCGCTGTTTATGAACAAAATCTAGAACTATTTTTAATTGTTAACAGATTACTGCAACTTATTTCTCAATACTCAGCGTGTATGTTATTTTTGCAAAATTTTCTTATTTCGTTTAGCTTATCTCTAGAATACTGGTTGCATGCCGCGTGTTAATTTTACCATAATGCGAGTGTTCTTAAATTAATTGGTGAAGACTTTTGTTGTGAAGGTTAAATTTATTGAATCTTTTGTTACGAGCAGGACAGTATTATCTTGTTCATCGTCGTCTTTATTATGGTTGAGAACATTTAGATTTTTATCGTATACATACGGCGACTTATTATTTCAACAGTTAATCTTGATATTATATTAAAATTATATTTATCATTTTGACTCATATTTTTTTGTAGTTATAAATAAATTATAAAGATTTTGTAACTCGTTCCTCTTTTCCTTTTCTTTAATTCTTGTAATTTCCAGCTTCTTCTGTTTTAACAATTCATCCAGCATAAATAGTAACGTAATATTTCGCTATAAATAATTCGGCATTTTTATGATCAATTACTTGCATTGCAACTTCTTATATGTATTCAAAGGTCATCTAATAATCTAAGTCTTCCTTTATTAAATAATCAACTATTTCCGACTTAAGTACATTCTTTAACAATGCAGTTCTAAGTTTCATGAAAATATCGTAGCATTTCCTGTAAAAGGTTGTAAAGACATTAGGTTACTTTTAGGAAGCAGGCAAGATGAAAAATTAGCAACGCCTTCGCGGGGAATTGAATCGTTGACCTCTCAATTACGCTCTGAGCGTGCAGATCACTACACCACGAAGAAGGCGGGAGAAATACCTTATATACTCCCCTTTTAAAGGGCGACTGGGGAATTTAGGGGTCCCAATCGCCAAATCCTGGGTGAGGAGAATCATCATCCAACACCCTTTTAGTTCGGGCGACACTGTAGAGACATTAGGTATTTTGGAAGCAGGCAAGATGAAAAATTAGTAACGCCTTCGCTGGGAATCGAACCGTGGACCTCTCAATTACGCGCTGAGCGTTGCAGACCACTACACCACGAAGCCTTGCTAAGCAGGCGAGAGAAATAACTTATAAAGTTCCATCTGATTTTTTAAATCCATTATTAACGACTTTTTTCATTTCCAAAGTCTTCTATACATAGTTAGCACTTTAGTATTATTTTATTAGAAGTAATATTTTTTAATCATTCCAATTGCCGGCAGTTATTACCCATTATAAAGAAATGCAAGTTTTATCTTGAAATACCAGAAATACTACTAATTGTTTATCCAATAACGCAATCTATATTAAATACTAAACATAAAATGAACAAAAGCAAGCCTATTAAGATATACGGTGAGCTACAGCTAAATTTTAAGACGGCTGTTATCTTTTACGAATTTACACTAAACATCTTTTTACTATTACCACCGTATTTCGATATCAGAAAACTTCAAGATGTCCATATTCAAACTTCACTGTTTTGTAAACGATTAGTTTTCTCCTTTTCCGTCCTACCCTCACTTATTTCATTCGTTCGCTTCAGAAATATGTAAATGCGAGATTAAGATGCGCCAGTACATTTGACTGATTAAAGCGACATCAGCCTTGAACTTGGCACCTAAGAGAAAGTTCCTGCTACTTGAGCTGATGGCACTATTTATCTATGTATTTGCAAACGCAGTTAGTTGCCCAAAGGGACGTAAAACACCTGCTGGATAACTCTGATTTCAGATAAAATTCACTCACTTAGAGATAAGAGAGAGCGACAAGTAGGCGTTCCGTTCAAATTATGTTAAGCTCTGTATGTTATGTGCAAAATTACGTCAACTGTCTGATGTGTTATCAGGCTAAAAGCTGCAGCCTTTTACCTATTATCTTTCAAGTAGTAAGCAAAATTTATATTATAGTTTGTTTTATTTTAACTTTATGTGTTTATTGAGCTAGACATTTGTTAAGGTGGCAAAAGTGATAATTCGCTATAAAAATTACACCAGAAGATAAGAAATAGAGAAAAAATTCAAATGATTATAATACATCAAATATGAAATAGAATATGATAATCTAATACAGTTATTTATTACTGTCATTTTGTGTTTCCTTTTATAAACTGTACTTCGATGTTAGACTAACAGGGAGAAACACTGGAGCTTAGATCTAAAATTAGGGCTTATTCCTAAAATTAGAAGTGCTGAAATCCTACAGGAAACCATTACAAAGAGTGAACGAAAATAAATAAAAATAGTTAATATTATATAATAAACAATGAGCAATTAAATTAAATGTAAGTAAATAAATCAACAAAAATACCATTCAATTAGGTTATGACATCGATTAAAAAACATATATGATGATAAGTTAAAATAATGCATTATAAAATTAAACAGATATAAATAAAGTGGATAAAATGTAAATATTGTGAAGAGTTTTCTTTGATGTTATCTAAAACAGCTTCTTTATTTTGGGCTACTAATTTATTTAAAGCCATTTTGACTGGATGGGTTCAAACATTAAAAATTCTTCTGTCTGAATGAATCCCATTTTGAAAAAGCTATCTTCCTAAGCTGCTCGAGTTTTACCGTGTACTGGTTTTTCGAAGGAAAATGAGGCGGACATTCTAACTCAATAATATTTTTATTAATTAGTAAAAGAGAAACTGCATTATTAACAGAATTATTATAAAGTCATGCATTCAGTCATATAACAAATTAATTGGAGCTCCAAACAGAATTACGATTTCGCTCAAACATTACGCAGTATCTGAAGCCAGAGTTCCAGCTGAAATTTATGTTCTAGATACACTAATTCAGAAGTCTAAACAACAAAAATCAGCGTTATACCTACAAAATTTTCACAGGACTAGTTTCGATGGTTTTACCGAACCATCATCTTCAGCTGCAAAACCGCAAACTGCATTTGCGGTTTTGCAGCTGAAGATGATGGTTCGGTAAAACCATCGAAACTAGTCCTGTGAAAATTTTGTAGGTATAACGCTGATTTTTGTTGTTTAGACTTCTGAATTAGTATTTATTCGGCGTGTTATTGTGTCTTAATTCTAGATACACGTCAAACATACACACATCAAAATATACTGTAATCAACTCTATTTGAAAATCATACGAATGGAGTTATTACAGGTGAAGACAAAGCTAAGCAGAGTCCATTCCTTTAGAAGAACATTTCTACAGATATGCTATAAATAAAGCTTTAAAACAGTGCTTCTAAATATTAAACGGAAGTGTTTTTTCAGATACAGAGAAGGAAAAATCATTCCCTACCTTTTCTATGACATCCAAATATGCTGTAACAGAAGGTGGTAATACAATAGATTTACTTTTGAAACGTTTCGGATTCAGACAACCTAAAACAAATGAACAAGGCTTAGGAAAAATATATTAAAAATAATATTGTAAATTATGAAGAGAATGCTATGAATATTTCATTCCTAATAAGTCATACATTTTACAAATAACTTGAGATTTAAAATATAATTATATACCCAGAAAACGTAAATTCAGAAATACAACTTTTGGAGCATTTTATCACATTCGCTTGATATTTTTCAAATTTCCGCAGCTAATTAGATCCAAGCTCTTTACAAAGTGTACAAAAAGTAAGAATATAAATCTTGTTTCATAAGCTTTATACTGATGTATATCCTAGTGATAACAAGTATTTATTTTTTAAGAATTTTTCTCTCTATGTGCATGATTAAAGATCTTAATCTATGATATAATAATATTATAAACAGACTTTCTGTGCATAGATATGTCGCATCGCGTAGAAAAAGACCAAGGTCATCAAAATTTGACAAAGATTTTCCACGGGGGAAAAGTCATTGCATCTAAAAACGATTTTTCAAAATTCAAATCAGTTCTTTTTACGGATTGTTTGCACATATACTATAACTGCTTATTGATCGAACTTATCATCACAGAATTTCCATATCGGTATTCCTCAGACATATTGTAAAAAATACATACACGGTTACAGCTGGTTCCAAATTTAATCAGCAAACTCAATAATTTATAAAGAATGCGTACAAGTAAAATATTTGCCTTGTACGGATTCTAACTACGTTAAGTGTTAATTCTGGCTCTATGAAGATAGTTAAACGTCTTAAATCTCTTATTTACGTAATACCAACATACAAAAAAAAAAGTTAAAAAATAAACCTTTCTATTAATTTGTTAACCCAACAATACACAACCTATGTAACGAAGAAATTATTTCCATCATTGGAGCGGATATATATGTATATATAAATCAAAATTATAATTTAAACTAGCAATAGCCTCTTAATTTCGCTAGTAATACCTTTTCCTGGACTACGTCATTTCTAAATCAATCCATCTCGTATGACTTGCGTAACGCTGCTGACGTAGCTAACCCGGGACTTAAAATTTCGAGAAGTGAAACTTTACCTTAATATGCAACTTAAACCGAAACCTTCTCTTAATAGGCTGTCATATTGGATAACGGCGCACGTTTTGCTTCAGCTAACTCACTTTAAGGTGCTAGTTCGCTCGCTTAGCCTTTGTCAGTTGTTGTCCATTCTTCTAAAAATATAATCTGCATAACACTGTGGGTGTTTTGTTGTCCATTCTTCTAAAAATATAATCTGCATAACATTGTGGGGTGCATAAAGCACCCACAATGACGTTGTGAAATGAAAAAGAATAAGTGTCCTCAGAATTAATAACCCAGGAATAAAATTATGGGTAGAATTTACGGTTACGTCTGTCTTCAAGTGTCATCTTTCTAACTACCGCAGTACAGTCTCTTCAAATTATTATAACGCAGAGAATCATCGCCAATCAGCTGCAGCTTTTTCCAAGTCATCCCATCATATATATATATAAGTAAAAAATTATGAGTAATTTAAAATGTCAAACTTGCGCTAAAGCAGCTAAGTAATAAAAAAATAATTTATTATTAGAAAAGGTACCTATATATCATCTCCAAGGAAAAGAAATTTAATTAATACTATGACTTACTATAAAAAACTTTAGTAAATATTTTTAAGTACCTTTCCAAGATACCTTTTCAGTATCCAAAGTTATCTATATTGTAGTAAATATTATTTAAATTCTTTGTAGTAATAATTATTTAAAATTTGTAAAGGAAAAAAAAAAAAAACTTCGACCATAAAAAATAAATTCAAAATCCAAAGCACTGAAAAAATAGCCATTGTTATTGATCACAGATTAACTGACTTGTATATATATATATATATATATATATATTAGCAGCACATAGCGCCCCCAGTGAAACAGTCTACCGACCTTGGAAGTCATAGAAACAAAGTTTACAAAACCACAGGTCCGTGGTTCGATTCCCGGCGAAGAGTTTGCTCATTTTTCAGTATCTCTTGCTTCCAAATAAACCTAATGACTCTACAGTGTAATAACAAAAAAGAAAACTTTCGGGTTATTTTTTTGAAAATCATTAAGTATTCTTATGATGTTGTTTCGGATAAACTCATTAAATGGATTATGCATTTTTCTAATAACTATTTTAAATGCTAATTCAGAAGTCAAACAACAAAAATCAGCGTTAATTTGCAAAATTTTCACAGGACTAGTTTCGATGGTTTTACCGAACCATCATCTTCAGCTGCAAAACCGCAAATGAACAAGATAGGAAATAATGTTTAGATAAGATAAGAAGGCCTGGACAAGAATAAGCAAGTGGCGCCATCTGTTGGCGAAACCAGAACTAAAACATAATTTCTCTAAAAGCCGAAGGCAAATTTGGATTGGAATTAGGATCGTTAACTAGAACAGAAAGATTTTTATGAATGTGAAATGCCTCTAGAAAATCCAGTTCTCCAATGGAAGATGTTTTTTGAATATATTTTGGCAGCAGAAAAATTGAAAGTGTGATTTTCGGACCAACAATGTTGAGCAACAGAAGACTTCTGTGTTTCCTTTTTTCTAACATATGCTTCATGTTCTTTGACACGAAATTTTAAGGCTCTCTTAGTTTGGCCAATGTAAATTAAACTGCACTGGCAAGGAATCCTATAAATACCCCAGGAATTCATATCCGGAATGGGTCCTTGAGTATAGAAGTTGGAATTTTATTGATGGGAGAGTAAACAACCCGAAAGTTAAATTTCTGCAAAATATGTGCAACTTTATAGCTAATTGATGGAAAGAAGGGAATGACAACAGAATTTTTATAATCTCCTAAAATAAGAGTGTGGCTTTTGGTGTGTTGAGATGAGAATTTTTTAACTGCTTGATTAATAATGTTGGGTGAAAAGCCCCTGTCAATAGCTATTGCTTTTAAATAATTTAGTTCTTCATCAAGAGCCAGTTTGGAGGAGCAAACTTGAAGAGCACGGAAAACATAGGAATAAAATGAGAGCTAACTTTTGTTTAGTCGGATGACATGATTTAAAGTGTGGTGGAAGGCAAACCGATGAAGGTTTACGGTAAACTGTAGTACTGAAGTTGGATGTGTTACGTGTGACCAGAATGTCGAGAAACGGAAGAGAATTGCAAGTCTCAGTTCAAAAGTGAACTGAATAGCAGGATCAATAGAATTCATTGTTGAAAGAACTCTATTTAAATCATCTTTATTACCTTCAAACAGGGTAAAAGTATCGTCTACGTAGCGGAACCATGCCGGGAAGTTTAAAGTTTCAAACAATTTTGATTCATAATAATGCATGTAGATATCAGCCAGGATGGGACTGAGGGGGCTTCCCATGGCTAATCCCTCAGTTTGCTTGTAATATTTATTTTGGAAAACAAAATGTGTTTGTTTCAAACAGAGTTGAGTGAGAGAAATGGTTCGGTAAAACCATCGAAACTAGTGCTGTGAAAATTTTGCAAATTAACGCTGATTTTTGTTGTTTGACTTCTGAATTAGTATTTATTCGGCGTGTTATTGTGTCTTAATTATTTTAAGGTGGTTGCGCAAAAATTTATTAAAAATAAGGAACCTTACATTAATGAGCACATTCATACTAAATGTGTGCATAAATGCTGAAATTAATGCTAAAAAAACTAAAATACACTAAAATAAAAAAATTAAGTTTTTACTTAGAGTATATCAATTAATAAAAAAGATACCAAAAAGGAAAATGGCAAAGAACATGGCATTTATCTGCCTAAGGGGAACGACGTCTTTATGGAGTATTTTCTAGGAATATCTCACCGGTATCCATGTAACACTTGATGAAGCCCCAATGTAGCTGCCCCGTAGTCTGGAACTGAACCCAGGTTGAACTATAAGTGATCAGCGACGTTCTGCAACTGGCGGACTATAAGGAAAACTTCAGGGAAGAATGGCATTCTTTCACGTTAAGAACCACTGAGTCAGATTCTGACTTCTCATTTCTTATTCGTTAGTTAAAGACGCTTTCTGGATACCGATATTTTATATTCATACACTGAAAGGAAAATATAATGTCTTGTAGGAAACGAAATGCATCTTTTGGATAAAGCAGCTTTGCATTACTGAGACAGTTCTTTCTTTTTTTTTTCTTTTACTGGATATATGCGTGGCAAAAACTAAAATGAACAGAGTTCCCCCTCCCTTCCCAAGGATCGTTCAAGACATCATATACGTTATTATTGCGCATTATTTACGTTCTGTGTCCAAAGGATAGGGAATTTACATAAAAACAATTTACGTTCAAACAGCAAACAGGAAATGGAGAATATTATTTTATTGGGGGGTTTAATAAAATCGATATTTATCGTGACATCGTAAGAAAGCAAAATATGCACCTAAATATGGAAAAGTAAAAAAAAAAAAAAAATGCATCTCATTAGAGAAAAAATACTAATAATAAAAATAATAAAAAAATTGTATCATCAATCAGTATGTCCGTAGTTACCCTTGAACACCTTTACCTAAGTAACAAACTAAAACTTTACTCGAACTAGAAAGAAAAAAAAAAACCCATCAGAACGATGTTTTTTGTCTTTTTAAATCATACTTGTGAAAAAGGTCTCAGGACTCTTATCACGTGAAAATCGCCCTTAAAGCTTATTTTTCTAAGCAAGTTGTAAGGTCAAATAGCTAGTCACGTTCTTCAAGTTTTATGAAATACTTGATTGAAAATAAAAGACGTGGAAAAAGCTTTAAAGTAGTCACGTACTACTCTTAGAATTAGCAAACGATTATTTTTAATTCCGACAAAGGATTAACAAGGCAATAATTAAATTTTGCGTCATCACTCTACTTTATTCTAATGTTATAAATTTATTACTTGCATGGATTCTCTATTTGCTGGGCTTTTCGGTTCCTAATGTAGCATCTATATTAATTTGATATACTACATTACATTGACAAAATCATAATAAATACATCATATTAACAAAAACAAAATAAATTAAGACTTCC